CTGAGAACAAGGGAGGATTTAGCATTAACATATTGAAAAGCAAATGTCTACTTTTGCAAATGTCACCATGATCTTTCTGAGGTCTATTTTCCCTGAAAATGCATATCCAGACCACAGTGAATTGCAGTGAGTTGTAATGCCACCACACAAGAGCTCTTCTCCTACTGACAAGACTCCATCTGAGTTGTTTGAGACAGAGGCTATGCACAACAGATGACTGAACATTTTCTTTGTAACCCATACATCAATTCTAAAACGTCCAATATCTGACCAGGCGAATGCACCAGTCACTAGGTGCTTGCTTTTTGTTTAAACAGGAAAAAGATGGAGATCGAAATATTGTCAGATCTCATGAACTATACTCCAGATTCATTTTCTGAAATAATTTGAGATAGAAACAGTTGTTAATTAAACCCCGACAAGTTAGATCACCACCTAAACACTCCCTACAGTTGGATGTTTAGTGAGGTACAGATCTGAGCTGGTTCTGTACCGGTACAGGTTAACCAAACTGGTTAGGAAACAAGTAGTATTGGTAAATGTGCTCCCAATTTAGTAACATACTACAACAAGGTCATTGTCGATTTGAGCTATGTAGTGCAATATTGCAATTAACTGTCCATTTGACAGTTAAATATTTATGTTGAAAATTCTACTCACAGCACCTTTTGACAGTCAATTTTTTTTAAAATCACCACTGATCCATACATATAACCCCATGTAGGCTTATCATAAGCAATAGAGAACATTTTGGGAAAAGCTCTGTTTTCCACCAGTGACCAGTCAAGACTGCAGCTGAAGGAAAGCATAACAGAAGCAACATGGCTTCTTTGAGAGCAGTACAACAAAATCTGCTAGCTGCTGTTTGTTTGTTTGTGCTGTTTCCGTGATTGTTCACTTAGAAAACCACATTAGCAAGTTTGAATATTTGATCACAGGAGAACTTTCACTTGGGTTTTCCAGAGTGCAGAGTTGAGTAAACTGCACATGTCCAGCTTTAATATGGTATCTGATGGGGAAAAGAGTGAGTCATAAATCTCAATGGATAACTGATGTCTGTCTCTGCTTGATATTAAGACCAAACCAGTAGCAGTAGTATGACCAATCTTTGATTCTGCTTTGATTTGACATCAACAATTATTCCCCCTTCTTCATTGAATGACAGATGTGACAGAAGCTTGAGCCAAAAGCAAAGTTATGTGAAAGAGGACAATTCTCAAAGTTCCTAAGTGGGGCTTTGGATAATAACAGGTTTGTGTATTCAAGACATGTCTAGCCCAGTCCCTTCGGTACTTGGACGTTGTCAGACGTTTTAAAAACTAAACACACACAGAGACACACACACACACACACACACATACATACACACACGGCCTATGACCTTGTAGCTAGTGTTCTCCAGCTGCCTCAGCTCAACAATAACAATGACCTAACACCCAGTCCCAAAGTCCTGATGGGACATTAAGAGAGAGACAAAAGTCACAGGCAGCTCTTTCATAGACTACACAGAGAAAACACATCCATACAGAACACCCAAACATAAATATACTTCTATGTATTTCTGTATTGACTTCCTCACACCTCCTTATATACAGACACAAACAACTTGCTCAAAGGCATAAGAAGAGAAAGAGACCGGGAGAGAGACATAAAAGAGATAAGGGAAGGAAAGAAGAAAGAGAGAAACAAAGCAATAGAAAGATGCAGGCTTAAGGAGAAGACAAACACACAGAGAGTTTTGTGAGAGAGAGGAATATGGAGATAGACTGGGGCTACAACATGATAAATTGAAACAGAAACTGCACACGGATAATACATAAATAAAGAGCTGCCGTCTAAACATGAGAAAAAGCATGTATTTTGTAATAACACTGTCCACTCAGATGTTTAAGTCCATACTTAACATCAAAAGACAGAATGTGTCAGTTGGACCATTGTCCATGATTGTCTTTTCTCAGACTGAATTTGTCTACCGGATAGCACCGCAGTCCAGACAGTCAAGTCCTAAATCAAGACCAGTCATTAAAGTCTAGTCTTGAGTAATGTTCCTAGTTAACACAGTCAATGCCAAGTCAAGACAGGCACATAAAGTCAAAATTCACAACAAAGTCCCGAGTCAACACAGCCAATCAAATCAATCACAAGTCCAACCTCAAAACAAGCCCCTAGTCCCTAGTCCTAAATCAAGGCCAGAGTCCTGGTAGTCCAGTCCTATGTAATGTTCCAAGTTAAGACAGTCAATGCAGAGACACAGTCCAAGTCAAGATTTTGCCCACAGTTAAGTCCCACAACAAGACAATTGAGTACCAAGTCCAAAAATGTATTTTATGATTTATGTTTGTTCACTTTATATATATATATATATATATATATATATATATACACACATACACACACACACAAATATTTTTTTAACTTTCATTCATATATAATATATTTGCAAAATGACAACACAAATCAAGACAGACAAGTCTGAGGTCAAGTGAGTTAAGCCCAAATTCAAAAGATTCAAGACAAGCATGTTTAACCCAAGACACAATCAAGTTACAATCAATCAAATTCACAGAAATCCACACAGTCAAGTCCAAAGTCTCAAATCCCAAACTTTAGGTCCCAAGCAATAGTTTCTGCATTTCTGCATTGCAAGTCCTGAGTCAACACAATTGAGTCAATTAAATCCCACAGTCAAGCCCAAAGTCAAGACAGGTAAATCCAAAGTTAAGTCCCAATTCCTTACCACTGGGTTCAAAGTCAAGATAGTCAAGTCCAATCAAATTCCCAGTCCAGGCAGTCCAGTCCCACAACAAGATAAGTAAGTCCCAAGTTATCTCCTTACTCCTTAAGAAAGATAAGAGCCCCCTTGAGTGCAGCTCATACCGTCCAATTTCAATACTAAATACGGATGTTAAAATCCTTGCTAAAATTTTGGCACGTTGCTTGGAGGGGGTTCTTCCATCCATCATATCACCAGACCAAACAGGTTTTATTAGGAATTGGTACTCCTTTTTTAACATCAGACGCCTTTTAAATATCCTCTATAGCCTTTCTCTACCTGGCACCCCAGAAGTGGTGCTTTCACTCGATGCTGAAAAGGCATTTGGAGTGGGTGGAGTGGGGCTATCTTTTTAGCGCGCTAGAGAGGTTTGGATTTGGTCCCAGATTCATATCATGGGTTAAACTTTTATATACATCTCCGAGGACTGCTGTACGTACTAATAATAATCTGTCCACTTACTTTGAGCTCCAGCGAGGTACGAGGCAGGGATGTCCTCCACTGCTATTTGCCATTGCAATGGAACCACTTGCTTTGGCGCTAAGACGGAATGCTGATATCAGGGGGATCCGGCGTGAAGGGATAGAGCATAGTTTCACTTTATGCGGACGATATGCTATTATTCATTTTGCAGCCCCTTCTGAGCCTTCCTAAGTTAATGGCCCTACTCGAAGATTTTGGCAAAATATCGGGCTACAAGGTCAATATTCAGAAAAGTGAACTGATGCCTGTTGGTGAGGGGGCAGGCCAGGTACCCCTAGACTCATTTCCTTTTAAAATGAGTCCAAAGAAATTCAAATATCTTGGGGTGTGGGTTACACACAGTCATAAAGATTTATATTTAGCTAATTATCAGCCTCTGTTATCTAATCTGAAGCAAGATATTGAGCGGTGGGACCCCCTGCCTCTCTCCCTGGGGGGCAGAATCAATACTATAAAGATGAATGTGCTGCCTAAATTTGTATATATTTTTTCCAGTGTCTCCCAGTGTTTCTCACAAAATCCTTTTTTTCCAAAACTAAATAATCAGATATCAGCCTTCATTTGGAACAAAAAGCCACCACGGATCAAAAGACATATATTACAGAGACCTCGTGCAAAGGGAGGGATGGCACTCCCAAACTTCATGTACTATTATTGGGCGGCTAATAAAAGATCACTGCTGTACTGGATGAGGGAAGGAGGATTGTTGTATTTGTTCTTTTAGTGTTATTATGTTTGTTTGTATGTTTATTTTTTTGTCTGTTAAGCCCCTCTTGGGTGTTGTTTACTATTTGAAAATTCTAATAAAAAAACCTTGATAAAAAAAAAGAAAACTAGAAACAAGACGTGGGCACATTCAAGTTTCAAGCCATATTGTTGGAGACAATGTGTGAGAGATGGAAGGACAGACAAACAGACAGAAAGAGAGACAGGCAAAGAGAGGAAGAGAGGGAGTGTGGGAAGACTGGCAAAGGAGCGTTTGTTTTCACTGCAGAGGCTGGCATGTCTGTGTGTGTCCACGGTTTGTCTATCTCAATCTCTCTCACTCAATCTCTCGCTCTCTGTTGAGACGGTAAACACAGATGCTTCAGAGTGCCTGCACAAGCAAATGCAGAGCCCTGTTCAAACACACACACACACACACACACACACACACGCACACGCACACGCACACACACACGCACACGCACACGCACACACACACACACACGCACACACACACACACACACACACACACCGTCACGCACGCACACATCATCACGCACACAAAGAGACAGACAAGGCAAACCCAGGCTTGAACAGACACCCAAGATCCCTGGAGAAAACTGACAATAAGAGTGATATTAGCGTGTGTGTGTTTGTTGGTCGGTGTGCACACACACTGCAGGTTTGTAATTAAATGCAAAGCAGTTACAAGGCAGTGAATACAGTTAAAACCTTTGGGACCTGAGTGCAGAGATGAAACTTTTGCACAGGAAAAACACCAGGCAGACAGACAGATTGAAATGTCACGTCAACACTTGAAGATGAGCTTATTTCAGAAAGTAACAAAGTTCGCTTGCTCGATGAAGACCTCGAAGGCGCCGACATATTGCCTTGAGCTTTCCATCAATCACAGCCATACTATTACTGCAGAATACCGCTGAGATCTTCGGGCTATCACAAATATTGCATCATATTACATTTTGTGTCTGAGCCACCCAAGCAAGGCAGCGGTGTCACATATCCAAACAGCTACTCTGT